GGGACGCGAGGAATGGGAAGCTCGAGAGGAATCAGCCCCAAAACCTCATTCCGAGGAGAAAGGAAAAGCCCCATGGGATCGAGAGCGGATGGAAAAGGTGGAGGTTGTCCATCGGGAAAGACTCGCGGAGCAGGAGGAGAAAAAAGGCTGGAAGAACCCGGCCGGCGGCATCCCGCCCGAGCGACCCGCTCGCCCGGAATTACACCGGGAAGAATGATTAGGGGGCACGGCGGGCCGGGCCCCGCTCCCCGGATTAAGGGATGAATCCACCATGGAACTCCGAGAGCGGGAGGTCGGAGAGGGAAGAGGCGACGCTGGAGGACCGAGCCGAGCTTTTATCCACGATATTCAACCCAATCCGGGCCGAATCGCCGCCGTTAACCGTCCCGGAGCCGGAGCGGCCGGAGGGCGTCCCCGTCTTCCCGCGTGCGTCGTCTAGAAAAGCAGCCGAAACCTGAAAAGGTCGAGTCCGGACGCCCCCCCCCCAAGGTCCCAAAATTCCGTCAGATCAGGGAGGGAAAACCCCAAGGAAAACGGTTAAAAAACACCCTTCGACTCCCAGTCCCGCGACGACCGGCCCCCGCGCGCCCCAAAAACCCAACCGGGGGTCAACTCCCCCCCCCCAATCCCTTCCCGGGGGGCAGGAGCTGTCGGGAGACGGCGCTGGGGGGCCGGGAAGGACCAGCCCGGCCGGGGGGTTGGAAACCTGCGGGTTTTCACTCATTTTGGCTGCTTTTCACTCATTTCGGCTGCTTTTCACCCATTTTGGACAGGTTTTAACTCATTTCAGGCAAATTTCCACTCATTTGGGGCAGTTTTTAACTAATTCAGCCAAATTTCCACTCATTTGGGGTGGGTTTTAACTAATTTCAGCCAGATTGCCACTCATTTGGGGCAGTTTTTAACTAATTTCAGCCAAATTTTCACTCATTTGGGGCAGGCTTTAACTAATTTCAGCCAAATTTCCACTCATTTGGGGCAGGTTTAACTCATTTCAACCAGATTTTAACTCATTTGGGACTGGTTTTCACTAATTTCAACCAAATTGCCACTCATTTGGGGCAGTTTTTAACTCATTTCAGGCAAATTGCCACTCGTTTGGGGCAGGTTTTAACTAATTTCAGCCAGATTTCCACTCATTTGTGGCACCTTTTAACTGATTTCAGCCAATTGCCACTCATTTGGGGCAGTTTTTAACTCATTTCAGGCAAATTGCCACTCATTTGGGGCAGTTTTTAACGATTTTCAGGCAAATTGCCACTCATTTGGGGCACTTTTTAACGAATTTCAGGCAAATTGCCACTCATTTGGGACTGGTTTTCACTAATTTGGGGCAGATTTTAACTCATTTGGGGCAAATTTCCACTCTATTTGAGCACCTTTTAACCAATTTCCGCCAAATTTTAACTCATCTTGGGCTGGTTTTAACCCATTTGGGGCAAATTTCCACCCATTTGGGGGACTTTTAAACTTATTTCAGCCACATTTTAACCCATTTTCAGCAGCTTTTAACTGATTTTGGGCAAATTTCCACTCGATTGGGGCAAATTTTAGCTCGTTTGAGGCAGATTTTGACACACTTCGTCAAATTTCCACTCATTCGGGGCATTTTTTAGCTAATTTTGCACAAATTTCCACCCGCCTGGGGTAAGTTTTCAGTCATTTCAGCCAAGTTTTAACTCATTTTGGCAGTTTTTAACTAATTTGGGGCAGATTTCCACCCGTTTGATGTAGTTTTTAACTCCTTTGGGGCAATTTTATCTCATTTGGGGCAATTTTAGCTCATTTGGGGCAATTTCAGGGATCTGGGGGGTTTTCCCGCTCGTCTCCCACTCGGATCACCCCGTGTCCGGGGGGAGGTGGGTGCTGGGCACCCGGAGACCCCACTCAGCTCCGGTTGAGGACTTGGGGGGTTTTAATGAAAATCGGCTGATTAGGGATGGGGGACCCCAACAGCGCCTTTCGGGGGTCGGGGG